TTATCGATACAATTATCGATTTATTTTCCCTGTGTATGATACAAGTATTGCCACGTTTCGAGATGTACAATAATTATCGTTTTATATGATAATTTTGGTGTGTTATACTATGTATACTACTGTAATGTACCTACAATAATTTCACAATTCTTTCAATAATTTGATTCAGAGTCCGCAAGACATCGATAATTTGGACGAAGTTCATATTGAAGTGGGTAAAATGAAGAAAAGTGACGGAACTTTATTGAATCTCGATGTCATTTGGATCTTAATGACGTAGCAACACTGTTTGTCAAGTTAACACGTTGACTGCCATGTATGCACACCCAATTTTCCGATCGTGCCATATGAATAGATATTATTCACAAGAGCGCTTGATTTTAGGCTACGTATCTATGAAATATGCCTATTTACCGTGCATTTCTTATATGGAATCTATTATACAGGGTGTCTGTAAAAGGTCTTTACAAAAACATACCACATATTCCTTAGACCAAAATAGGTCGATTTAAGTAAAATTACCTTAGTACAAAGTTGCTTAGTTTGGGCTCCAGAGGGCCTTGAAGTTACAATTTTTAAATCGTTTTTCCCATATAAATTTAAAACGGCATATGCGATTTTGCTGAAGTTTGGTATATGGGTAAAGATTTATGTGGCAAAAAAAAGTTGTATTAAAATTTTGTCCGATAATAATACATAGGCGTAGAACTTAATTTTTTAAATAATTGCACCTTTAAAAATTCTACGCCAATAGAAGAAAAGGAGTTTGAGTATGAAATTTAGATTGCGCAACTCATTTACTTTAAAAAAGGTACTCTTGATAAGACTCGATTACTCTCATGGTTTTAACGAAATTTGCATTTTAGTAATTTTAGAACATAAACAATAATTATTAAAATACAAACTTTGTCAAAACCATGAGAGTAAATCAAGTGTTATCAAGGGTACTTTTTTGTAATAAATGAGTACCCAATCCAAATTTCATACTCAAAACCCTTTTCTGCCATTGGCGTAGAATTTTTAAAGGTGCAATTATTTAAAAAATCAAGTTCTACGCCTATGTATTATTATCGGACAAAATTTTATACGATGAAAAACATAAAAATGTACTTTTTTCATATCTCTTCAACATCTCTAATCGAGACTTTCAACAAAAATACCCGATTCTGGTCATGTACGATTTTTTGAGGAATTTTAATTATTTGCCTGCAATACGTATACAAAAACATTTATTGTTGGTTTCCATAGTTTCATCTAAATAAAAATATTGTCAAGTTTTAACACCTAATCTCTTGTTAACGATTGAAAGTGTTCTATCTGACTCAATAATTAAAAAAACAAATGCGTGGTTTATTAATATGGCTGTACAATATACCAATGCAGAATATACCGATATGTTACTGACATTAGGATTTTGTGAAGGAAATGCTCAAGAGAGTGTCAGGGTGTTCTCTGAAAGGTTTCCAAATCGTCGTGTACCTAGCCACTGAACTTTTGCTGCTGTTGAGAGACGTCTTCGGGAGACCGGTTCCTTTGCTCCCAACACTGTTGATAATGGAAGAGAACGTTTTGTAAGGATTCCTGAAGTTGAAGAAGACATTTTAGAACGTGTTGAAGAAGATCCAGAATTAAGCACAAGACGAATTGGAAGGGAACTAAGAGTAAGTAAAGATGTCGTTCATAAAGTGCTTAGAGAACAATTGCTATATCCATACCATAAGAAGCCAGTACAAGAATTATTAGTCCATGATCCTCAAATTCGTTTGGGTTTTTGTCGATTTGTTAATATGCAAAGAGAAAGAGATCCAAACACTGTCAAGAAGATTCTCTTTACCGATGAAGCGGGTTTTACAAGAAGAGGTATAACTAATACCCATAATGAACATGTTAATGCCGTTGAAAATCCGCATGCAATAAAGGTAAACCATTTTCATCACAAATTCAAAATTAATGTGTGGGCTGGAATAATTGGTAATTTCATTGTTGGTCCTGTCATACTTCCACGAAGATTAACTGGAGAAAATTATTTGGATTTTCTACAAAATACGTTGCCAGAATTATTAGAAGCTTTACCTCTCCAACTTCGGAGAGATATGTGGTTTATGCAAGATGGAGCTCCACCACATTTTTCTTTAAACGTTAGAAACCACTTGAATGACCAATATCCACACAAATGGATAGGCAGAGGTAATGCCGCACCTGTAAACTGGCCACCACGTTCCCCAGACCTAACACCGATGGATTACTTTTTATGGGGACATCTGAAATCCACAGTTTACAGGGAATCTGTAGAAAATGAGGAACAACTCTGGCAACGTATTCAAGATGCAATAAACAATCTTAGAGGTGATGAAGAAGTTATGGAAAGGATACTTTTTAATTTTCTTCGACGTATAAATCTTTGTATGCGTGAAAATGGTAAACATTTTAAACAATTTTTGTAAAATCTCTATTTTGATTATGTTGTAAATAAATATTTTTGTGAAACCTATACACCTATAAATTATTAAAACAGAAATTTAGCGAAAACCATGAGAGTAATCGAGTTTTATCAAGAATACCTTTTTTAAAGTAAATGAGTTGCGCAATCTAAATTTCATACTCAAACTCCTTTTCTTCAATTGGCGTAGAATTTTTAAAGGTGCAATTATTTAAAAAATCAAGTTCTACGCCTATTTATTATTATCGGACAAAATTTTAATACCATTTTTTTTTGTCACATAAAACTCTACCAATATAACAAATTTCAGCAAAATCGCATATGCCGTTTTAAATTTATATGGGAAAAAAGATTTAAAAATTGTAACTTCAAGGCCCTCTAGAGCCCAAACGAAGCAACTTTGTACTAAGGTAATTTTACTTAAATCGACTTATTTTGGTCTAAGGAATATGTGGTATGTTTTTGTAAAAACCTTTTACATTATATAGGCGTGGAATTCACAATATTTAAGTTGATCTGATAATATTTTCCTATTTATATGTTTTTTGTTACATAATTATATGTAACAACATTTTATTTCCGTTCATTAAGTATTTTTTTTATATAAATAACTAGCTAAACAAATAAGGCAAAATAATTTAACTACATTCATTTTGCAGGTTATATTAGACAAACGTAAAATAATTTTTAATTTTTTATAAAAAAATATTTGTGACAACAAAAATAATATTTTTACCAACAAAAACAGATTTATTATATGGCACAGACATATTATACATAAACAAAAAAATAAGTTAATAACGACAGGACCGTCCTTTATTACCTGTTTTTAAGGCTTAAATAAAATATATACTCACGGCGTATGTTTGCAATAATTTAAATCCCACGCCGCTTGCATATATTTTATTCACGATTTTATTGTAATTTACATAGTTATTAATTTATCAATAATACTGATTTTTCTCATTGATTGGCCAAAAATGCACACGTAATTTTTATTATTAATAACTGAAAATAGTACTGTAATTCTGATTTGATAAAAAATAGTGATAATGAAAACCTAATACAAAAATATAAATTACGACTCTATAAATGAAGTGAAATTTTATGTTTAATTGAATTTCTTTTTTTTTAAGCAATATGTCAAAAATTACATACACATAGTGTGTCTACGTTAAGTTGGCGGCATGTGATAAACTATTTTATTAATAGAGAGTTATTGCAAGTTCACTTAAGGTCAGTCACTATTAGTGCCGCTCTTATTTTGACATCTGAGCATGCGTAGATCACTAACTTTAATAAAGATTGTGCCTGTCCTTAATGAGAGAGTTATTGCAAGTTCACTTAGGGTCAGTCACTATTAGTGCCGCTCTTATTTTGACATCTAAGCATGCGCAGATGTTTATGTTCTAAAATTGACTTTATTAAGGATTGTGCCTGTCCTTAATTGTGGATGTTTAAGGGCAGCAGGTAGTGGCGACTTTATACCTTTCGGATGCGCTCGTCATTTAAACCTTCTAAAATTATAATTTCTAATGCCTCTTTAATATTAGGTACTATTATAGAATTTATTTGACTCTAATTACGATGTCACTATTAGTGGCTGGCTTTATAGAAATTTGCAATATCTCTCTATTAAGGACAGGCACAATCTTTATTAAAGTTAGTGACCTGCGCATGCTCAGATGTCAAAATAAGAGCGGCACTAATAGTGACTGACCTTAAGTGAACTTGCAATAACTCTCTATTTTTAGGAAAAAGTTATTGTTTATAAAAATTTATACAGGGCTCAAAACCCAAAATGCATCCACCTGATATTAGGTTTGTCAAAAAATATGATTTTACTCAAGAGTAAAGTACCTTTTGGCAAACCTATTCGATTGATAAAATTTGATATAAGATGAAGGTATTTTAGGTTTTAGATCATGCAACAACTTTTTATGCAGAATAACTTTTTCCTAAAACTAATCGTAAAAAAATTTCCTATGCCGCCAACTCTCTACGTAAGTAAGCGGCATTTTATGCGGAAAACTTTTTTTATTATTAATTTTAGGAAAAAATTATTTTTCTTAAAATGTTTTTCATGATGTAAAACCCAAAATTTCAACTATTAATTTTGCTCAAGAATAAAGTAGAATATAGACAATCGTATTTTGGTTTTTAGACCATGCACAAGTTTTTTTAAAGAATAACTTTTTTCCTACATATAGATATGAAATTTAAATGTTTTAAAAATTATTTTTTCTACGAACATTTAGGAAAGTGAATATATCGCACTATTTAGTTTTACGGGAAGTGCCCTATATCACACGCGTGTGGGTAAGAATCGACTAGGTACATTATTATTAGGTTTTTTTGTTGATATAACTATTTAATTAGATAAATCATGTGACATAAGTTCATAGAGCGTTCAATTAAATAATGTGATCGTAGAAAAATCTGTTATGCATTTTAAACGAAAGGTCCGTTCCCGCTTTCGACAGATTGCAACTTTCTGTATCGAGCGGCAAAGTATCACTTTTCGCTCTCAATATACAAATAGCTATTTTGAGATACATACAGCATTTTAAGGTTGTATTCGAAATTTCCGTAATATTAACAGTAGGTTCGTCTGGATACGTGGGAACTCCATCATAAGCATCAACACAGAAACATTGATCGTTGATACACTGCACATTTTCGTAATCTCCATTAGCAGCACAGCGAAAATGTTCAACAGGATTTAGTTCTCTACCAATTACTACAGTTGCATCTTCATAATCTCTAGAACACTCTAAGAAGAAAAATTAATTTAATTATTTTTGTAGTTAGTATGCGAAATCAGTGTTGTTGAATGCGACTAATGCCAAAAAGTACAAATTTGTTGCAACAAATTTCATGAAAAAATTCGGATCAACTTTACTTTGACGTTCGTAACCACGGAAATGTCATAATTTGTAGGTAGCTTTAGCTGTTTTGAAGTTTGAACTGTCAAACAGTTTAGTCTTCAAGTCGATTTTAAATCAGATACTATGTCTTGAATATGATTGACTACACTGGTATAAATCAAAATCAATGACGTTATATTGACTATCTCCCTAGACCAAATATCAGCGACTATACCACTCATTGAAATATGAACCAATGAAAACGCTCGATTTTCCATAGTTATCATGTATTACAACGGTTATTTACTTATTATGACGCAGATCGAATATTCGAACCCTTGTATAATCGAATATACAAGAGTTCGAATATTCACTTATGTCAAAACTCGAGGGATAGGTAACTGTGATCTCCATTTCAAAATTTGACAGTTGTCAATTTTGATCATGGCTCGGTTTAGCAATATTTCTACGGAATTAATTGATAAAATTATTGAAAATAGTAAACCAACCAACACGGTAAAAACCGAATCATTCGTTTCGCGACAATTTGAAAAGTTTTGTGATGACCGCAGTTATCAGTTAACTGAAAATACTTCTAATGAAGAACTTTGCAACATTCTTAAAGATTGGGCAATCAACATGAGAAAAGCCGACGGCACCGACTACAAGGAAGGTGTAGTGAAAACTATTTGGAATCTTACTGCCAAAAGAGTGCAGCAGAAATACTTCAAAGAGTTTAATCGCACCATCGATCCATTTAAAGATATTGTTTTTCGCACTGCGGTACTCGCGAAAAACGCCAAACGCAAACAACTTCAAGCTATTCCGTCAAAAAGAAAGAGTAGCTCTATTGCATTAAATATTGAAGATATTGAGAAAATTCTAAATGCATTAGATGAAAATACACCCTCCGGACTCCAGCGTAAATTTTATCATATTGCAGCCATAGAACTAGCCTGGCGTGGTGGTGAGGCTGTGTCAGCTCTTTTAGACTATTTTGTGGAAGAAACAGACAACTACGGCAAGAAAACAGGACGTATTGAATATAATACTGTTTTTTCCAAAACTGCCCAAGGAGGAAATCAACGAACTACTGATAGTAAATGGTTAACTCCAAATACACAAAACCCCACTCATTGTCCTGTTAGATTGTACAATAAAATGATGAGCAAACGGACCAAAAATATAAAAACCAGACGTCTATTTCTTACTGTAAATAAAGACTGGGACAAATATCCGACTAGTTGCTGGTATAAAAATTGTCCACTTGGAGTAAACGAAATTAATAAATGGACAAAACTGTCTGCAGAAGCTATAGGAATCGATACAAAAAAGGTAAAAATAACCAATCATTCTAACAGATCGACCGCAATAAGTGGATTATCAAAAGCAGGCACTAGTGTCCAAGAAATTATTAAAATTACGGGTCATACTTCAGAGCATTCAATACAACCATACCTGCAGTTAAATGAGGACCATCATAAGAACATTATATCAAATTTAAGAAATGAGACAACTACAACATCCTCCACTCTTTGCTCTACAAGTGCCGTGGCTCCAATGTCAAATAATGTTTTTAATAATTGTACGTTCAATATAAGTAATAAATAAATTTAAATAAAACAAATTACCTATGTACTTTTTATTTTCATTTCATGAACTTTTTTGTAGGTAAATAGAACTTGAAATAACTTGAAATTTAGTAGATTGCTGTCTACCTACTATATATATATATATATATATATATATATATATATATATATATATATATATATATATATATAAATAGAAATGTTATTTAAATTATCCAGGTGGTCTAGCGATAGAGTTCTCGCTCTGCAATCGCAAGGTCCAGGGTTCGATTCCCCTAGGAAACTTTTTTTTTTCTTTATTTTTCTTTTTTTTTTCATTATTTTTATTTTTTTTTTAATAATTTCGTGCTATAGTCTATCTGTATACAACTCGACAACTGAAAATTTCCGAAACTCGACGTATTGCCTAACAAAACACCACTCGACCTACGGTCTCGTGGTGTTTCAGGCAATACGTCTCGTATAATCGAAAATTTTCAGTCGTCTAGTTGTATAATGTATGACTATTTCTCTAGAGAAATAGTCGATATTTGGTCTAGTAAAATAGTCGTTCCAAATATAACACGACCTTGATTACTATTCTGCTATTTTTGTTGTTGCTAAATTTCTCAAACATTTTACAATTTGATTCTACATAATTTTGGCATTAATATTCAATTGATTAAAACCCTTGAGCTAAAGCTCTTGGGCTCTTATCAGATTATTAATGCCAAAAATTGTCTCATCAAATTGATATTAAAATATTCTCGAGATTTAGATTCAACAAAAATAGCCGACTATTATCAAGGTCTTGGTATATTATCCTTAAATATTGTCTTGAAATGGTCAAGTTTAACATGACTACAGTAGAAACATGCTCATCAGAGGTATGAAATGTCAAATAAAATGACAAACGTAAAACTTTTACTTTTTAAATATTAAATTATTATTTGGTTGTGTTATTTGTGAAATCAAAAGAAAGACTCAGTATAGAATAGCCAGATTTACGAAAGAGAAAAGTGGGACAACGGTGACGACAGAGGATCAGCTTGAAAAAACAGGTATTTTTATAAAATAAGCTCCTTCTTTTGTAAAGAAGGTCCTCCGTTTATATTTATTTAAACCAGGTTTCTTTTTCCAAGGAGCTTCCCAAAAAAAGGTAAAAAAAGGTCAAAAAAGGTTAAAAAGGTCAAAAAAGTTCAAAAAAGGTCAAAAAAGTTCAAAAAAGGTCAAAAAAAGGCCAAAGAAGGTCAAAAATGGTCAAAAAAGTCAAAAATTGTCAAAAATTTCTATATATATATATATATATACATATACAGTGTGTCTACTTAATTTGGAACCATATGGAAAACATTTTTATTATTGATTTTAGGAAAAAAAGTTATTCTTGATAAAAAGTCCTGCATGACTCAAAACTTAAAATACAGTCATCAGATATCAAATTTTTCAAGCCGTATACGAGGTTTGTCAAAAAATATGAATTTTGCTCAAGAGTAAAGTACGTTTACTTTTCTACAAAATCGAAAATTAAGAAATTTGCTAAATTCTTCACAAACATCAACAAAAGGAAAGCGTATCATGTTTATAGTAGCTAACGTAATTTATAACGTTTTCAGATATTTACAATCAATGTGTAGAGTGTAGATTTTATAAAAAATAAGAAAATCTGTTTCTTCAGATAGATCGGTGTAATTGCATATTTGAATGTAATATTCAATTCTAATCAACTTTTCTTGAATACGTATACGGCTTGAAAAATTTGATATGTGATGACTGTATTTTAGGTTTTGGGTCATGCAGGACTTTTTATCAAGAATAACTTTTTTTCCTAAAATCAATAATAAAAATGTTTTCCATATGGTTCCAACTTAAGTAGACCATTGTATATATAATTTTAAAATTAAACGCGTAGCATTTAGGTGAAATGCGGAGCATTTTCTTACTTTGGCGTAATGGGTGCCAGCAAGTTAAAAAGCGGGACAATTATGCCTAAAGCGAGATGTCTGGCAACCCTAGCTAAGTACCTAGATATGGACGCATTTAAGAGTAGGTAATAGCAGAGACAATCCAGCGAGACGTGTAACTCAATGTATTTTTTTTGTTCGGTAAAACTTATTTGGGCGATTGTAACCACAACCAGTCTATGATGGCGCCACTAGTAAATAGCGGGAAAATTAAAAATGCTTTAGGGCGGGAAATTCAAACATGGATTCAGAAATCATTTTTGTATACAACAAATTTACAAGAGAAACAAAAACTATTGTTTCACTGTTTATTAAAAAATATAAAAGCTTCCAATACCATCAAATTTTTTATCATATAAATAATCATTTTAATAAAGGAAGTTTTAATCAGTTTAATAAGCAGTGAACATAGTTTTTATTACTCTTGTAAATTTCGTTAAAAAAACTTGAAAATTCTATTGATTATTAAATATTTAAACTTGGAAAAATAATACACCAAACTCTTTTTCTATAAATTATATTTTTTAAGGTACAGAAAAACAAACTACAATTGCTATGTTTAGAAATTACCTCCTATGATTTTGTGACAAATTACAAAGAAAATAACAGTTGTTATATATTCATAATATATTTAAAAACTAATGTAACAAATATTTTATAAAGTATAGAGTATATTGATATCTTTTTGCCAGACTATCATAAGTGCCATATGAACAAATGTCGCTTATGTTAGTCTGGCAAAAAGGTATGGATATGTTATGACTGTTTATTTTATTAGAAACCATGGAAATGAAACAAACACACATACACTCAACACAAATGTATAAGGCCTGAGTCGAGTCCCCATCCTGTAAACTGGATCGAAACCTGCTAGACCCATTCCGTACACCACCTGCTAACTCTTCTTAAGGTAATCAAGATCAATAGATTTATGTCATGCCTTCTAAAAGGGAATGAAGGATGACATACTATCATTTAAACAGGACGTTGCTGAAGGCTTACCCCTGTTATTTTGTTTGTTTGTGTATCTTGTGTGTGTGCATTCCTGTTGTGTCCCCAGTCATGTAAAAGTTTTCCTAGTCTCCTAATTTGGTTACTAGGTGGACCTTCTCCAACTAGTAGTCTAATCTATTCGATCTGTTCTGCAGCAGGAGGTACTTTTCAAACATAGCAAATATTATTAATAATAAACACTATTTAAAGATAAATACATTTTTGTAATTTTTTTGTCATTGCCCCTTACCTTTCTCTTACACAAATAGCTATTTTCCATTTACCCTTAATTATAGATTACCTTACAATGTTCGAATGAATATAACATTTTACTCATGAAAAATCTAATTTCATATTTAACTCTTTTTCAATTTCATTTGAAACAATAATTGGTACCTATATTACAATTTAGTATCAATGAAAATTTCTAATAAAGTTATAGCAAATCCTACTTAAATTACTGGTTGTTCTGCAGGATAAATTAATTTTTCTTGAGATTGATCTCTCTATAAAATCCAAAACCGACCTGATGTCCCCAAATTTATTTTCCAATGCATCCTGATTTAAAATTCTGCCCTTTTGTGATTCAATTTTTTTTCTTCCTTTAGAGTGGCTGTTAGAGGTAGGTGTATGTAAGAAATAACTAATCTCTAATCATTTCAAAAGTCCTTTGCCAATACTACATGTGCAGATTTTTTACTCAGCATACATTTTACTTTTCTAGTAGATAGGAACTTTGTGCTGCCATTAAAGCTGTCCAGACATTCATCTACCTACTTAATGAACACAAGTAGCTGTAACAATGGATCTCTGTTCCAATTAACCTAAAATAATTATAGTCATTGTGTAATATATTATTAAACACACACATTATACACATATACATAATAAATTGGAAATTACTTACCTCTAGAAAGAAATGTGTACAAAAACGCGAGTTTGGTTCCAGAAATTGCTTCATGCAAAAAATAATATGCAAAAATAAACATTCCCCCTCAAAGAAAATTAATTAAACAACAAAATCAGACTAAAAGAAATATACGGGGCCCAAATTAAATTAATTTTAATAAAATGCACATGTTCATAACAACATTCATAACATTGTCAGTATGTCAGTTGTCAGTTTTAATACTTTTAATCGATATTTCGACGTCAAAAAACCAGCAACACCAGCGCCCTCTGAAAATGGTGTTAGTTTTATTGGAGAGAGATAGACATATGTAAAGATCAATGTAAAAGAAAAAGAGGGTCATAT